ACGTAATTTGGAGCATTGTGAACGTGATCTGACCGGTAGCGACGATTGTCAGCTGGAAGCTGCCGAAAATGCATTCAAGACGACATTTCGGGTGCTTGTGGTAATATTGCAGAGATACCTCGAAGTCAAGCGAGCACTAGGAAAACCGACAACGCCGTAGATGAACCATCGTCAGACTACCCAGGAGCTTCCCTGGGACCAGTTGATGCTGTAGGGGCACCACCGAGGCCTCGCTTTTACACTGGGAGAAGAGTGTGGCCTTACATGGAACGCGGAAAACCAGATCTGGCAAGGAGACAGCACAGACCATGGCATGGACCATTCCGCACGATGCGTCAAGCGGAGTCCATCCTCGACGACCGTACAGCGGTGTCGGCGAGCTCCGAGCGCTGTATGCGAGAGTTTAAGGTCAAGTTGGTCGGCTGTGACGAGCCAACTTGGGAATCACCGTCAAACTTGTTATGCTGTGGGCTATTATATGATTATATGTGTGCCAAGACGCGTGAGCGACGGCCACTGATGACTCAAGTCTTCGGCAAACCCTAGTGCGACTGTATGGTGTGTGAACTGTCCACAGGGCACTGCAGCCTGTGGTAACAGACGAAAGGAGCTACTGCATCAACATTCTGCATATGGATTTGGTGAATTACGTGAACTTGATTACGCTGTGGGATATGGATTGAAAAGGAACAACATTAACGCATGCAAAACAGCTACCGTGGAAGATGAACGCTCAGTGACGCGTCCAGAAGGTTGCTGCGTCACCGATGTACGTGATAGGCTTGGCGGCGAGGATTCAATCGTCTGGATAGCGCCATCGATCAGTATTACCTCTCATGATGGATACTCACGGGGCATATTCTTGACCAGAATATCGTTGGGCATACTTGCGATGGGGAGATTGCTGATGCGGTGGAACACTCGTCGCTAGCGTCAAGATATTGCGCTGCGTGCCGATAAGGTAGAGACGACAACAGCGATGGATCGCATTGCGTCAGAAGATAAATCACGATCGTTGCGAGCGGAAACTACATCACACCCGAGGTATGGCGCGTGAAAGAATGGTTGAAAGACCGTGGACACGCCGTGCGCATTAAGAACTCGGTGGTAGGTGCGTTTGACTCTGTGGGCACGCACAAACTCGATGAACCCTCGGTAGTGCCTCTAGTTACATCGCCGGAGCACAGAGGTGTACGCATGTGGCGAAAGGTGCGTCATTCCTGCAGACGGCGAAGTGCCCCATGAAGCTATCATGCATGGTATCATTCGACGCGCATGACATGCTGTGGATTATGGAGCAACATGAGTGTCACAACGGTTACCATTTCTGTGGCTCCCATTGCGACAGGGGCAGTTGTGGTGTAGCGATTTCCAAGTAATCGCTGAAGTGGCTACATTCAAGTTGCTCAAGCCACGAACGCT